ACTTACAATAATAACTCGGGAGATATTTATTTCTTAATTCATGAAGCGATGGACATTGTAGAAGAAAGTGGAATCCGTCTCCAATATAACTGTTGCATAATGTACAGAATCTCTGATCTTTATTAACATTGAACCATCTTCCCTTTTCAATTGGTAATAACAAACAAACAACATCAGGTGGTAAACGATCTGTATCACCTCGGGCTTTCCTCCCACCTCTAGCGGACACTCCGTGTGTCTATATACAATGCAGATCAAGATGGTAACAAGCCTCAATAAAAAAATATATATAACATTTAAAAAAATGACACTTTAACGTAATAATGTGTTCAAATGTACAATGAATCTAGACAGATGTTTCAAAGTGGATATACATTTTAGGTGATAAGGTTTTACGCAGTTTACACATATTTGGCCAGATATAAGTAGGCATGTGTAGGCATAGGGAGTGTAGGCATAGGCACATCGGGGATGTAGACACAATGGACGACACCCACTGACGCATGTTACAAGAAGCGTTGAACCAGACAATGTTCGAACACCCTGCTGTCTAAGGGCTGCTGTCCGGAGGGACCCACTATATATAACATCTAATACTCGATGTCTACCCTATTGGCCGAAGTTATAATGTATGCCTGAGCATCGTTTGCCAAAGAAAGCCTATAATATGCCGGTATATCTTGATAATATTGAGCAGAACACGTGGGCTTCCCGTATACGCTTAACTCTCTTAAATTATGGCTTTGGATTCATATGGATATCGCAATCTACTGGTGACATCAATTTGTTTTTACAACAATCTCGTACTCGTGCTGTAGATATGTTCCGACAGCCTTGCATTCTATACTTTCAGGAAGTTACATATCGCATATCGTGACATTGAGTCACCTTGAGTCGTATCTTTCAAATTTAAGAATCAAACACCTCCGCCGTACATATATACGCTTTAGACTTGGTCTGAATGATTTAAAAGTGAATAGAGGAAGATATTTAAATATTGAAAAGTCACTAAGAATTTGCCCCGCCTGTAACCTGGGTGAAGACGTATTTCATTTTATGTCTATTTGCCCTGTATATAACAAAATCAGGAGGGAATATCTACCAGCCTGGTCATTTTCGTGAATATCTCTACTAATAACTTAAAATGTCTGCTGTCAAGCAAAAAGTATAGCGTTCAACTACAAGTATCTTTATACATTCATGCTTTTGTGTTGCGTCAGTTATTGTTGTCTTGGTACTCCGTATGCTACAATATTTGTTAATATGGCCAATGGCCTTTCATACAATAAACCATTGAATTGAATAAGTTACGCCATGTAGTCTTTTCAGTAATTCCAGGACCCGGTTGTCGTTGGGGTGTGGATCCCATGTTCACCCCGATTATGACACTCGTACTGCCAGGAACTTATCGCTACTCGTCGGCGACCTGTGACGCCTTGAGGTTTCCTCACACATGAAACTGACAAGACGTGATATAATTGCATTTCTACTCAAAGCTGCTTCAAATCTAACTCATTCAATCATTTATTGTTTTTTGCTGACCATAGCTTCAAAGTATACTCAAGTGAAATATACCTATATTAATATAGATTGGAGAAACCCATGTGTGTTAATGATGCCCCGTGGAGTTTCAGCGTTAAACCAGATCCACAGCAATCGATGGTTGTGGTAAGGGACGACTAAATGGATCGGTGACTTGCGTGCTGCGTTTCCCGGCGGTGGAGAACGTTGCTCGTAGTATCAATCACTAGTTCGATCAGGGTCAGTCGGTTAGCCAAGTGGTTGAAGCGTTCACTCGTCAAGCCGAAGAAGCGGGTTCGATTCCCGACATGGGCACAATGTATGAAGCCCATTTCTGGAGTCCCCCGTCGTGATATTGCTAAAAGCGGCGTAAAACCATACTCACTCACTCACTAGAGCAGTCATTACTGATTATCGTCATCGTGCAGGAATAGTGATTCACAATCACATGCCTGTGATATAGTCCGACCTTACAAGGGACTCAGCCTTTGTTAGAGGTTCTAGAAACGAGGAGACCCGTGAAGATCCGGGGTAGAATAGGTCTTCAGCAACCCATGCTTGCCTTAAAAGGCGACTATGCTTGTGGTAAGAGGCGACTAACGGGATCGGGTGGTCAGGCTAGCTGACTAGGTTGATGCATGTCATCGATCCCAATTGCGTGGATCGATGCTCATGATATTAATCACTGGATTATCTGGTCCAGATTCGATTATTTACAGACCGCCGTCATATAGCTGGAATATTGCTGAGTGCGTTTTTAAACAACAAACCAACTTTCCAATCGTCAACTTTCCCTTTATGTCGAGCAATATACCAGCAGCTGCAGGCTTTGGGGGTCTACATTTGACACGTTTTGAGGTACAAGCGAGCATGATCTTTCTACCAAGATTTCAAAGAGCGCCTCTTGCTCAAAAGTTGTTTAATGAAGGCCTCAGTAAAGCTTTCAAAAGTTTTTATAGTAGACATTTCAGGTAGGTTATGTCCAACTTTGACGCATCAGTGACAAAAATGTTTCCGATGCAATTCCCAATTTTGACTCACCATATATATGTTCCAGTGGGTTTTTTTCAGGTTAACGATTGACTTGCCTTTGCATGTGTTTGTGACAGGACACGCTCGCCTTTTCGCGAACACCTGGTGTCATCACTATTTGATAGGGATACATAAACACATGCTCATGAAATAGTCGGAATCGTACAATCGACTCTGCTTTTGGCGGAGATTTCTTAGGGATATGTGAAGGCTTTTGTCGCTTTGATTATAATAATGAAAATGTTTTGTTTTTTGTAGCTTTTTTAACATGTGTCTGTGTGTCTTTTCATGTAACTCCTCGAGTATGAATACGCCTTGGGGAATTCTTATTTCTGACCAATCTGTTGAGCCAGTTGATCAGTGCGTTAATGTTCATTTTCCAAGGGGCGATGGGGGTAGCCAATAGTTAAAGCAGTATCTAGTCACGCCGAAGACCCGGGTTCGATTCCCCACATGGGTACAATGTGTGAAGCCCATTTTTGGTGTCCACCGCCGTGATATTGCTGAAATATTGCTAAAAGCGGCGTAAACCCAAATTCAATCAACCAACCATTGTCCAAAATACGAAGTGAAGGGTACGAGTACGTTGTTTGTGTATCCTCGCTGTAGATCCCCAAACCGGTCCCTGAGTAGCCACGTTCACAAACTGTACTCACAGAATACGTTCACCAGTGATCCATGAAATATGTGACAACTGCTCTCTATCACGTCACTGCAACGCATGAGCGAGTGAGTTTTGAATATTACTCTACCAACATCGCGCCGGGGCGTCAACGAATGGTAGGTAGCATGGAATATACTTTCAGGCAAGCAGATATTGATGTCTTAAGAAGACGCATCAAGAGTTATGGAAACTGTGGTAATTTTGTTTTTGTTGGTAAAACAAACAGGAAAAACATATGTTTGTCTATAACTGTTAAATATGCGGAGGTAATAATCAACACTAAGATACTATTGGTATCAAAACGAATAATCAACTTCCAGTGAAAACACTAAGAAACACCGAGCATTGTTAACTTGTTATTAGATAAATAAGCCTCTTATAATAACACTAAGAAAACATTACCATCATAAAAGTTATACCACGATGTATTAGCATATACCAGAACGGCAATTTTTATCTATCCATCCGCCATCACAAATATGGAATATTGGTGCGTGGTCGTTAAACAACAAAAACACATATCCATCCAAACACATTGATCAGATACATGTCCCCATCATGAGACGGGTATTATCAGATTATTGAGATCCCACACCTGGGAGATAATTGGAAGCGACGAGAGAGTTCAGAGCTTGCTCACCAGGGAATAATACCGACAGCATGTCTGATATACTACTGAGTAACGAACCATCGGATTCGTTCATATTGGTATAGTTAATCTGACATGGCATGACAGATTAACTCTGGTAATAGGGAAGAATCGGGTGACCCTTACCTTTATGAGAATATATATATCTGATAGTTCATGTGTTGACATCCGATAGTTCATAATGTTCATACAACACTTCATTTTCTTCCGTACTGACTTCGTATAATTAATTTTCCATAATATTAATATCCAATTCTTCTACATTGACATCCAATATTCTGCTCTACTGTTATCAGATAGTTCATGTGTTAATGAACTCACATTATTTAGTTTACATTTGTATATATAATGTTCTTCTCAAGTCACCGTTAGGATTAAGAATAGCAGTGGCAACATAGAGTTCTGTACAAACACAGTTTACTATCTACTTAACCTGGGGTCACATGCACATTCTACACACACGATAACCATACTGTATAAATAGATATTACTCGGCTGTTTTATTGTTCGGAATTTGCTGTAAAATGATTTGGAATGTTTCCTTTCACTGTAGACTTAGCACAGAGTCAGTGATCCCTGTCAGAACATACAGTCACACCATAGGCCAATTCACCTTGATCTAATTAGATTAAATTGTTAACAGAGGCGAGTGATAAGACACCGCGAGGATAGCCCAGAGATAAGACACCTATTGTTATCTGCCCCTGACAACCTTGACACCAAGGTGGGAAGTAATACTACCACTTTCATCTGACCGGTCACGGGTAATTTACGCCACATAAATATCTCATTATCTCCCGGGTGGAATAATCCTTCCGCGCAACCTGACAATCGCGCGGTGACATCAAACTTGTTACACCTGTTAAAACACCCTCGACGCTGAGGTAATTGCATTTATCGGTGTCACAGCAGAGACGTGAACTCCTCGACTTCAAAGACCGAGGTGCCGCGTATTGTTTTACACATGTCCGAACATGCTCGCTTCTCATTGGCTGGCCGATTTGACAGCTGATTAGTGTCAATCAATTCACCTGTCATACGGACCGATCGCTGGCACTGAAGGCATTACTTAAGACCCAGTTAGCTACAGTGCAGCGTTTAAATTGTGTATAAAATCGGCCATCTGGGGAAGGATACATTACGTTTCTGTTTTGTGTGTGATATTAACGTTTATACATCTGACATGGATCCAGAAATTGTCGGTGAGGAGGTTGACAAGACTACTGATGTGGTCAAAAAGAATAATGCATATTCAGAGATTCGAAAGCGTCAACTGCAGAAGCTTGGAAAGCCCAATGGTTGTGGAAATACTACGAGGAAGAACATGCGCGTTAATTCCGGAATGCATTTTTCTACTTATGTTGGAACTCCGTACCACAAATTGAAGGTAAGGATGTCACAAGTTTGTTATGAACACATGAAACAGTTTGCATACAGACCTAGAAAATGTAAATACTTTATCAGGATAATTTTATTTCGTTAATAGAAGGAATGTGTTTGATATCTTTAATCATGCATTCATGAATAATAATTTATGAAATCTCACATAATAATTGTCGGAATAGGGATTGAGCAAACTTAATTAGCATCCTAAGAATTAATATATCTCGTTACATGGCGCTGCGGATTACGGCGATGCTTCAATGATACCATTGTGTTGCTGACGATGGTTACGTCAGAATCACATGATGTCAGTGGATGACATTGATTCACACTTAATTAGATCTGAACACACTCGAAATTAACTTCCGTTGTTTGACTTTTCTAGAAATGGTTTACACAGCGACGTAATAAAGGACGACATTGCGTTGAACAGGGTTCTTCTGACACAAAGAAGCAGGAAGGCGAACTAGAAACGACACAAAATGAACTAACAGTCCGCAAGCTTCCCGGACTCCCGCTCCTACCTATGTTTCCAACGACAACCCAGCAGACGACACAAACGGTGCGGCAGACGACATTGAATTGGAAGATGCAGACGATAACCCAACAGACGCACACCAAGCCCTTGTGTTGGCCACCAGCATACCAGGCCGGCCTGGTCTCCCACGCTTCCCTCCTGCCTTCCTTGTCCAGGATCCTGGTCGACCATCTCAAGGAGAACCCTCATCTCCTCACCCCCGTCCACCCCGCAAAGCGCCGTCGTGTTGAACACGAGGTGAGCGACTGTGACGCTGTCGTTCTCGACAAAGTCAAGGTATGTTATGGTCAATGTAGTAGCGAGTTATTGGTGCCCTGTCGTACAATATTATGTGGTATAATAGTATGGTATACTGTAGTATAGTGTCGTCGAGCCTTAGTAAGTGGATTAAATTTGATACCAAAAGGTCAAAACAATATTTCAGTTCAATGTGTCCGCGTGGCATCAAGACACTTACAATGGTACTACTACTACTACTATGAAAAGTGAGTGGGTGTTTTATGTTTAAAGTGTCCACGTGACATCGTCAGCATCTTTCTTGCGAAAGCCTGATCGCCGCGAATAGCTGCAAAATTGCTGATGCGGCGTTAAGCAATATTCACTCACTCACTTGCGAAAGCCTGTAAATAAGTATCTGGCGTTCATTTCTAACATATACTTTCATTGACTTTCTTTCACAGACATGGCTGATGACACAGACTACAGACAACGTCAACGACTGCGAAAACGACGACCCTTCCAGAGACAACTACGACATGAGTGTCCTCGACACAAGCGTTGACAAACGAAAACGCCACGCCTCTGATGATGTGTTAGATTTAAGTTGCCCCAAGCGATTGGAATCCCCAACTAGCAGCATACCAGATGATGTCTCCGTTATGTTCAATAGTTACCAGAATATCTCGCGATTAAGTTTTGATTCTGAAAAGTCAAAGGAAATTGTCGTTACAAAGGCATACAAGCATGGGGACGAGAATGGACGTCCCAATGACGCAATGTCAGAAAACGAAAACTGCCACAACACCGAGAGCATTGGCTGCCCGGCCTTGAGGAACATACAGGGAAAACAAGCATATATTCCTCCGAGCGTGAGGAATTATCTGTGATATAATATTATGTTTATACACACCCTGTGAAACAAGACGTTAATCCAGGCCCGGGGCAGTTATTGTAACGGGCCTGTTGTAACGGGACAGCATTTTCTGTGATAAAGACTTATGATTCCCCATGGTGCAGTTGAATAAATATTTATGACTTGTTATTTCGTGTCATGGTGAATGTTTTCTTTTCAAGGCCAATAACAGCCCGGTGACGCGGAACGTGCGCTGAACCCAGTACTATAAGGTCTAAATCGGTTCAATGTGACTGAAATATATTGAGAGTTTGTATACGGAAGGCCTAGAGCCTAAATAAGATGATGGTATATCCTGCCAACTATGAAATTAGAAAAAAAATCACGCAACACGAAGAGAATAACGTAACACTGGAACGACTTTGTGAACCCGTAGCCTTAACGACTGCCTCAGGAATAGTGCCATACGACCACGAACTCGTAGCCTTAACGACTGTAGTGGGATTAGTGCTATACGACCCATGTTCCCGAGGCAATAGAGTCAACTGACTTTTCAAGTTTCCACCCTTGCCGAACTAGGCTGGTATTATGGAGATTTTGGCTGCACTAAGGAGTCTATGCACAGTCCAATCAAAATCGCTCAATGAAATCGAAATCCGGTTCGTAAACTGTCATGCAGATATTTTCCAAATCTTTTCATGTTTTTGATCAAGGTGCTCACGTGATTTGATGCACTTCGCGATGTAAGATCCGTTTTATCACAATATAGATCTTGGTTATCGATCAGATCGTCTTGACTGGGCGCCGTCATTATGTTTGAAGCAAATGCAAGTGATACGAGGGGTGGAGTCTGATTGGTCCACAGGAGAGGCTTAGAAGGGACATAACTCGTAATATCCACTAGTGGCGCTACGATCGAGCCCAGGAATGTCAGCCTAGTTCGGCAAGGACGGAAACTGGACTTTTATTGTCAGTTGACTCCTTTGACTCAGGAAGATGTATACGACCATGAACCCGTAGCCTTAACGACTGCCTCCGGAATAGTGTCATACGACCACTAACTCGTAGCCTTAACGACTGCCTCAGGAATAGTGCCATACGACCACGAACTCGTAGCCTTAACGACTGCCTCCGGAATAGTGTCATACGACCACTAACTCGTAGCCTTAACGACTGCAGTGGGAATAGTGCTACACGACCATGAACACGAAGCCTATATGGCTGTAGTAGAAATAGTGCTATACGACCGTGAACCCGTAGCCTATACGGCTGTCGTAGGAATAGTGCAATACGACCATGAACCCGTAGCCTCCACGACTGTAACAGGAATAGTATTATACGACCTAAACCCGTAGCCTACACGGCTGTAGTAGGAATAGTGCTATACGACTATAAACACGAAGCCTATATGGCTGTAGTAGAAATAGTGTTATACGACCGTGAACCCGTAGCCCATACGGCTGTCGTAGGAATAGTGCTATACGACCTAAACCCGTAGCCTATACGGCTGTAGTAGAAATAGTGCTATACGACCATGAACCTGAAGCCAATACGACTGTAGTAGGAATAGTGCTATACGACCATGAACCCGTAGCCTCCACGACTGTAACAGGAATAGTGTTATACGACCTAAACCCGTAGCCTATACGGCTGTAGTAGGAATAGTGCTATACGACCGTGAACCCGTAGCCCATACGGCTGTCGTAGGAATAGTGCTATACGACCATGAACCCGTAGCCTCCACGACTGTAACAGGAATAGTGTTATACGACCTAAACCCGGCTGTAGTAGAAATAGTGCTATACGACCATGAACCTGAAGCCAATACGACTGTAGTAGGAATAGTGCTATACGACCATGAACCCGTAGCCTCCACGACTGTAACAGGAATAGTGTTATACGACCTAAACCCGTAGCCTATACGGCTGTAGTAGGAATAGTGCTATACGACCATGAACACGTAGCCCATACGGCTGTAGTAGAAATAGTGCTATACGACCATGAACCTGAAGCCAATACGACTGTAGTAGGAATAGTGCTATACGACCATGAACACGAAGCCTATATGGCTGTAGTAGAAATAGTGTTATACGACCGTGAACCCGTAGCCCATACGGCTGTCGTAGGAATAGTGCTATACGACCATAAACACGGAGTCTAAACGACTGGCAAGAAATAGTGCTTAATACAACTGAAACCTGAAGATGCTTTACTTGCATGCACATGTTTTAGTACCCAAGCAATTGCCAGTGGGGAATCCTGGTTAGAATTAATCCCCATTATACAACCTATGCTTGTCGAAGGACGCGGCTAAAATTGACAGTGTGGTCTGGCTCTGTGAATTACTTGATCGCTCGACGCCGTGGGTCGATGCTCACGACATCAACCACTGCCTTGCACGATTATTGCCGACTACGTCGTAAAAACGTAAAAAAAAATTCAGTGAACACGACCCGAGGAGACCCGGGGTGGAATAGGTCTTCAGCAACCCACGCTTGTCGTAAGATGCGACTAACGGGATCGGGTGGTCAGGCTCGCTGACTTGGTTGATGCAGGTCATCGATCCCAATTGCGTGGATCGATACTCATGCTATTAATCACTGGATTGTCTGGTCCAGACTCGATTATTTGCAGACCGCCGTCATCTGACTTGAATAATATTGAGTGCGGCGTTTAACAACTGACAAACAAACCGAACAACAGTGAACACCTATAGTCTCCATTCCGTGGTCTTTTTCTGGTCAGGGGCAATATGATTTAACGCCGCTTTTAGCAATAGGCCCCACGTCCAAACGGTATAAATAATCTTACTTTTAACAGAAGACCATACGGAGCAATAGGCTGGGACTCCTTGCAGACATTAGTGTATTACACAAATGTCGGGATGGATAGTCTGCGCATTTCCTTCATTTTGGTTCATTCACAGGAATTGTGAGGTATGTGCATTAAGTGAACTTCGTCTTTTGTACAACATTTGCGCGTGTTATTCGTTCGACGAATTTTACTGTATATGGTTGTGTCCTGACCGGAACTGAGCAAGGGCCAAAGGGCTTTTTACTCACTTGTGACAGATACTCTTGACATATTTAAAATATATTAGTGTTTAAAGATTGTTACATCAATAAGCATAGGAAATCAATGGAACCACTCAACGCATTACATCTTTGCTTGGACCAAATCTTAGGGTGAAGTTCTATCTACAGTAAACTACGGTTATACCGAACACGCTTATAACGAACTGACGGATATAACGAACTTACTTTTTGGTCCCGACTACTTGTTGTAGTCTTCATGCTGTATATGTACTTATTACTTATAACTACGGTTATAACGAACTAAAACTAGTAGTCCCTTTGAGTTCGTTATAACCGTAGTTTACTGTAATCTATAAATGAAAACGTTCACTACGTTATTATACGTGCTATTTCAGTGTCAGAAAACAGTTTTGCTTGCTGGTCAGATGTTTCTTTGTTGTCGACGAAAGCTACATACTGGCATCTTTACATCGCAGGCGAATCATACATCATCTTTATAACTGCCAGTCTTTGTTTACGTTAACGTGTACTATTGTTTGTTTAGTTTGTTTGTGGCGTTCTGTGGAGACATCCCTTCCCCCCGCGTGTGGGGAGAACTGCTTGTGTATGCTTGATCCGTTAGAAGCGAACGTACAATAATGATTTCACGCGGTCAACAAAATTTTAAACTCATTGATCGTTCAGGCAATGTGCGATGGAGTGACGGTAAATGTTGACCTCACATTGACTCATATTACCTCGTATTGACACATATTAGTCCAAAGCGTAGAAAGACCCGGGGTAAAAACTTTTCGATATTTGCACGGGCACTTTAGTGATCTATCAATGCTGCTTGGTCAGTTTAACGAAACGACGTCATATGACGAAATTATGTACGTTGCAACGTCATCCAATCTTTACACGCGTAAAAATAAGAATTGAAAACATAACGACATAACAAAACAATGAGCTGACTCCAGAAAGTTGAAATGAAGGCTGAATTTCCAACCTTTTTTTTTCTTTCTTAAAATGACAATAAAGAATATATGAAACAACCTTCTCGGAACGACGGATTATGAGTCCCCTTTACATGGAGGCTGAATGTTCCTCGCCAAAGGCCCTGGGCTTAACCCATTCACCTTAGACAGATAAACCGTAATTCCCTCGTAACTCTTTAGTTGTTCTGTAATCATTTTCAAACAGCGGACTCTACCTCTCCACTCTCACCAGGGGCAGTTGTTCAAACTTGGATCTTGCTCCCTGGGCTGCAGCTGAAACAGCTATAATACCCATTACATCCTAGACCTGTGAACATCCGGGGTAGAATAGGTCTTCAGCAACTCGCGAGGGCGTGGTATCTGACTCCTCGCTTTTGCTCGTCAGATACCAGAACTATTCACTCGTTTAATAAAATTGGTATTACACGGGAGCTCGTTTAGTATTCTATATATTGACGTCATACTAATCGTATTGTGAGTGAGTGAGTGAGTTTGGTTTTACGCCGCTTTTAGCAATATTCCAGCAATATCACGGCGAGGGACACCAGAAATAGGCTTCACACATTGTACCCACGTCGGGAATCGAACCCAGGTCTTTGGCGTGACGAGCGAACGCTTTAACCACTTGGCTACCCGACCGCCCCGAATCGTATTGTGACGTAAGGTTGGAATGACGTAACACTAGTAACATAGCTGTAGATCGTTGAAGTCATACGACAAGTGTGGTTTTCTCAGACGGCGGTCGGAATCAGTGCATTTTTCTAAAGGGGAGGCCAAAAGGATTAATCATTAAGAACTAATGGGTAAAAAAGATATTGGTACACTTGTTAGTGATACTGAATTTACGAAACTCACTCGAGATTTTTACATCTCACCACAGCGCTGTCTTCTGTTCCAGCCAGTTTGGGACAATAAAGTACAATACAGAAGACATTGCATCTATGTGACAGTTAATTTTTAGATTTGTTTACCAGAACACATGACATACTGAACTTCTAGAACTTACATGACATACGAAATATATAGAACATGATCACAAATGATGGCAATAATAGCAAAAGACACATTTACAAAGGGCGATGATGAAAACGAAATAGCAACTAATGCCCACACAACAAAGTATGTTGCAATATCTTTACCATTTTGCCACATC